TCACCATCTTCTTCTGTATCAGGCTTGTTCACCTTTCCAGGAGCTTTGATAACTTTGGTCTCTTTAGCAGCTGTGGCGTTTTTGTTCGCAGGAGCAGGGGCTTTGACGGGTGTAGCGTTCTTTTTATCCACCTTCATTTTATTGATGTAAGTTCTTACAGGTCTGCGATTTCCTGTAATTTGTAGAGGCGTGTCAAGGTTGTCTTCATCAGTCTTCTCCTCCATTTTATCTTTCTCATTTTTAGCTCCAGACTGACTCTCTTCAGGAACTACTTTCTCCTCAGGATCCTTCTCAGACTGAGTTTGTGATGCATTACTGCTTCCGATTTTGTCCAATTTGTGATCCTCTTTAAGATCTTTGTTCTTCTCACCGTCTTCCTGTAATGAATCCTTTTTTACAGCATCTTTACTGTCTTCTTCATTCTCTGAGCTCCCCTCATCTTTAACTGCCAATCTGCCACTGCTTCTCGTTTGTCTTCTTCCTTGAGTTTGTTGAGTCTGCTTCCTTGTGCTACTTCTTGTCCTTCGCTCTGGAGACTCCACTTTGTCCTCTACTGTCTTCAAGTCAGCACTACCATCAAAACTGGCTTCAGAAGCAGTCTCTGCATCAGTTGGGGTTTGGGAAGGAGGATCTCCACTTTCTACGCTGGGGGGAGTGCTCTTTCTTGACCCTCTTTTTGCAGTCAAGAGGAATTCCTCTAGTTTGTCAGTTCGCTTGGGCTGTCGGCCACTTCGCCGCACTGGACAGCGGTTTTCAGGACTGTCAGTTGCTGCCTCCACTGGCATCTCTCTTTGCAATGGTAGACTGACAGAAACCCAAAGTTCTTTACGTCACTCTTGGACTTTGAAAGATTTGACCGACTGCTTTAGCAGCTCTTTGGCCACATTCCTGCTTTCTGTCTGAAACAGCTCTTTTACATCTTCTCCAAAACCTGAGAACAATCAGTCATGACAGGCAATCATCAACATATGCTTTGGCAACATTGCCACAAAAACAAGAAGCACTGTAACTGGGCACATGGGATTGTTAAAATGAATAAAATAAATGCCCATTTTATTATCCTAATTTAAAATTACTTTATCAGACTTTTCAGTACAACTACCACAGCGTACAGGAAGGAAAGCTCATTCAAGGTACCTTGTGAGCATCTATCCAAACAATCCTGGATATACTCACAAGCAAGAAAATTCAGAGCTCACATTCCCCTTCAAAGATGATGAATTTACTGTTTTTATTCTGAATCTGAAAGCGTACAGTGAAAATGAGGATGCATAAACCCAACTATGGTCACAGTTATTGAGGGTTGCCGGTAGGGCTGGGCGATATATCGATATTTTTGAAATATCAAGATGATTTAAAACACGATATAAAATGAGACTATATTGATATAAAACAATAGTCTTATACTCTGCATAAAGATAAACCCAACAGTTTTTCTCCCAGTCAGGTTGCAGCCTGCAGTCATTCACACTACCTCTCCTCCTCCCTCACTGACAAACCCGCTCCTCCCCGACTACTTCATTTAGCTGAAGACGTTTAGATATGCAGGTAGGTCTTTGTTGACTCACAGCGGGAGAGCACTTTAAATTCCTGATAAGGTGTGAAAATGACGGTGGCTGCTTCAACAAAGCTGCAAGGCTCCGTCTCGTGTCGGGAAAAAACTCTTGACTGACACGCAGCTCGAAACTTTGCTTACACAATGCGGTGCATTCAAGAGCATAGGAACTTTTAAATTCAGAAAGAAACGAGCCATATTCAAACAGAACCGAGCTCAGTAAACAAGCCAACTACACAACAATGTGGGCTTTCTAACAGCTTTGTTAATAAAGGTTATTAAAGGTTGAATGAATATACTTCATTAGAATCTAACTTTAAAGAGCAAGTTAGCCTTTCATTGTTTGCTCTGTATGTGCTGTTTAAATTTTAAGTGATTCAGCTGTGTTTTTGGTTTTGTTATGCAG